CCAGGTTATAGCATGCTAGGCGATGGGGTGAATCACTGCAGGCCCACGATAGGCAAGGAACTGCAGCTGCCACATGAATTGGGTGGACATGGAGCTCAGCATCGGTGGTGAAGGAGTTTGTAGGAGAAGAACCTAGATGGGGGAGTCAGTGGTAGAGCCAGTTTGGTGTCGTGGTTAAGTGCGTGGACTCTAATCTGGGAGAACCGGGTTTGATTCCCCACTCCTCCCCTTGCACCTGGCTGGATGACCTTGGGCAAGCCGTAGTTCTGACAAGAGCTGTCCTTGAAAAAGAGCAGTTTCTGTCAGAGCTCTCTCAGCCCCACCCACCTCACAGGGTGTCTGTTGTGGGGAGGGGAAAGGAAAGGAGTTTGTGAGCCGCTCTGAGACACCTTTGGGTAGTGAAGGGCGGAGTATAAATCCAATCTCTTCTTCTTCTTCTTTTACCTCCTAGGGTGTCTGTTGTGGGGAGGGGAAGGGAAAGGAGTTTGTAAGCCGCTCTGAGCCTCTCTTGGGTAGTGAAGGGCGGGGTATAAATCCAATCTCTTCTTCTTCTCTCTTCTTCTTCTTCTCTCTTCTTCTTCTACCTGGCACTTGTCAGCTCTTCCTCCCTCCTGGAAGGAGGAGGCTGGGTGCATGAAGAGGCTGGGCAGGGGAAGGCCGGCTGGGCAATGGGGCCAGCTGATACAGCCCCAGGCAGGCAAGGAGTCACTGCTGACCTGCAAACCAGGTGGGTGTGGAGCCCAGTAGAAGCACTGACAGGGGAAGAGATGGGAAGGTGATGGGAGAAGGACCCAGAAGAAGAGGAGGAAGTGGTAGGCAGTTGCCTGCTGTCCTTACCTCTTTTCTCTACAGGGTAGGAAAAGCGTAGGGACGCCAGCCTCCAGAAGAAAATCGACGTGTTGGAGGGTGGAATCTGTGGCCTTGTCCCACCCACCAAGGTCCCTGTCCTCCCCAGGCTCCGTTCCCAAATCTCCAGGAGTTTCCCAGCCTGGATCTGGCATCTCTACCCTCCCCATCTCCCACCAGTTGCCAACGGAAGCAAAGATGAACATTTGAGTTAAATCAGGGCTATTTTGGGGCAGGAACGCACAGGAACGGAGTTCCGGCTGGCTCCCGAGTTGGCCACGCCCAGCAGGAACTCATTAGCATAACAGGCCACACCCAACAGCAGAAACTCATTAGGATTGGCTACATTAGGGGTGTGTGGCCTAACATGCAAAGGAGTTCCTGCTACAAAAAAGGCCCTGGGTTTTGTCAACAAAGAAGGTAAAGAGAATAACAAGCAAAAGGTGGGTGTGGCTGGGTGACCACACTTCTGGTAACATGGGGGTGCGGCCTAATGCGCTAATGAGCTGTGCTGTCAGGGGTGTGGTCTAATATGCTAACGAGTTCCTGCTGTTGGGTGTGGCCTATTATGCTAATGAGTTCCTGCTGGGCTTTTTTTAAATGTTTGAGCTCCTGCTTAAGGTACCTTTCTCAGACAGGGTTTCTAAACTGTTCAGGCAACTAGGCTTCCCAAGTCCCCCCGGGGGGCAGGGAAAACCCCGCCCCAGAGGCTCGTTCCCCATCACCGGCGGATCGGGCCCCGGGGGGAGCCCCACCCCAACGTGCGTGTCACCCGGAAGTGACGCGACCACGCCGGGCACGCTGGGGGCGGGGCCACGGTCACTTGAGGGAAAACTCTATGGTTTTCCCTTGGATGGTCGTGGCCCCGCTCCCAGCGTGCCCGGCGTCATCACGTCACTTCCAGGTGACGTGCGTGTGGTGCGGGAGTCCCCCCGGTAAGAAGATATTTCGACTTGGCAACCCTACAGGCAACCCTTGCACCTACGTCTTTTAAGAGCAACTGGATCGGCAGACATTGATTCTGATTCCCACATTGTAGAAAGACTTTGCCTACTTCCTGCAGATCAGACTCTTATTAGGTTAGGATTTTTCCTTGTCAGTTCACAACTTTGCTGAGCAAATCAACAATAGACAAGTTTAGTGCGCGTTTGGAAAGAAGTCATATCGAAATGCCCCTAGGTTCGCTCTCAGTACTACTTTGAATTCACAGGTAGCATTTGGGGAGGCACGCTTCAGCTTCCCAGTCTCAGAGAGGGTGGCGAGGCTGCAGCTGGCAACCCCTGGGAGGAATTGGGGGCGAGGCCTGGTGCACTGGCAGTGGACCACTGCATTGATGCCACTTGCAGTTAACACTGGAAGTGACATCTTTAGACGCTCTACGATTGACAAAAACCCTATGCTCGAAAGCCAGTTGAGTCCGACTCTAGGGTTGCGGTGCTCATCTCCGTTTCAAAGCCGAAGAGCCAGGACTGTCCGAAGACGTTTCCGTGGTCATGTGGCCGGCATGACTAAACACCAAGGCCCACGGAATGCTGTTGCCTTCCCACCAAAGTGGTGCCTATTTGTCTACTTGCAATTTCTTGCAACTCATGTGGCAACTCGGGCCTTGAACTGCTGAACTGCTGACCTTCCACAGCCTGGTGGAGATTGGCTCAACCTTATACAGGCATACGGACACATTTTTTTAAGCACAGAAAAGTGCTGATCCTGAAATGCCACAATTCATTTTGAAAAGGGTTTAGCTTGCAGTCAGACCGCTATGTAGGCATTCCCACAATTTCCATAAAGCATAGCATCTCTGATAGGATTCTTTGGTTTGGTTTTTGGAGCCTGATGGGTGAACTGGAATCCACGTGGGATTGCTTGTCATGTTACACTTGATTTTACCCTGATTTTTTTTAACAATAATAACATCGATCGGGGATCCCCAATGTGGCGGCCATATGAGTGCCATGGTGCCAAATCACGTGTTTCCTGGTGCCCATTGACTTTCTGAAGCGTGTCTTCCCTAATGAAAAGGGACCATTCTGTCTCTTCTTAGAGTTGCCAACTCGCCTGGAGAAAAAAATAAATGTTCTGCTCCTTTAATAGAGCCTTCATGGGATGTTATTAACTAGATTTTATTAGTTACCGTCAAGCCAATAAAAGCTTCAGCTACCCATCGCTACACACTAAGCCTCAATTAAAGGGACCAGAGATTTCCCCCGTCTACTCAGCAACCTGGCTTTCTTCTACCTCATTGAAGAAGCAGGTGCTGCAGAATTCCCCAGGAGCCATCTTTGGTCTTCATGGAGTACTTCCTCCATCACAGAATGCTTGACTTAGAACCTCCCGATGTTTTGTGATTGCCTCTCCCACCCCACCAGGCAGCTATTTTGTGGTTGGTTTCACTTCCCATGGAAGTCATTTTGTGGTGGTGCCTGTTTAGGGCTACCAAGTACTTACCGCAAATTGGCAGGGGACGTATAGTTCTTGGTGGGAACATTCCCGTGGAGAAAACACAGGCGCTGCACTGTCCTGTCGCCCAGACATGATGCGGGCACGTAGCCGGGCGACGCTCTGGCAATGGGGCTGAAAACTCTATGGTACCATCGAGTTTCCAGCCCCATTGCCAGAGTGTCGCCCGGCTACGTGCCCAGCATGCTTACGTCACATCTGGGCGACAGGATAGTGCGATGCGGCCGTGTTACACGCAATAATGTTCTGGCGGGGAAGCATGTGTCCCCCACCGATTCGTAGGTAGGTACTTGGTAACCCTATGGCTGTTAACCTTTCTCAAAATTCCAAAAGGGACCATGGGCTCAACAAGTTTAGGCATCTCTGACATAGACCAAGATCCCTTTTCCAAATAAAGTTATTCCTTTCTCATGTAATGCCTGCTTGTTTCTTTCCTCTCCCCCATGCAATCTCTGAAATACAACATCTCTTCTTTGAATATGTTTTTTACGCAGGCTGACATTGTTTAAGCTCTGTAGGTGTGCTCATTTCCAAGTATAGCGTTTCTGCTGTTAACGTATAGGTGGAATTCTGTGGTTGTTGCTTTTAATTGTGCAAGCTAGAGGCTAAGCCCTGCTGCTTTAATGAAGGACTAGAGCAATCAGATGCCAAAGAGGGCAGGGCTCCTGTACCCTTAATAGCTGTATCATAGGGAATTTTGACAGGTGCCGCTTGTCATACAGGAATGAGGGAAGCTGAACCTGTTCAAATACCTCCTTCTACAAAGCAATTAAAGGGGAGGCATTGCTTACTGTAACTGCTGCTGAATCAGTGGCTTGATTTAAGAGGACTCTTCCAAGGTGCTGCACAGCTCATTTCGAGACCTAGATGGTGTTACATATCCCCTGGAGAAGATGGAAATAGGCTTCAGGAAATTACTCTGCAGATTTAATTATATTATTGGGTCATAGGTTTATCACTCCAGTCCTTTAAAAGGAAAAAGTTTATGCCCTCAGGTTTGTGTAACATTCCTCCTCTGCTTTGTGCTCTGTGTTGTCTTAGGCTTCTATCCAAATAATTACTTTACACAGGCTCAAGGGATTAGGTACACCCGTTGGGATTTTTTTTATTCCCCCCCCCCCACAGAACTATAGATCCCTCTCCGATGAGGCTATTATTACAGGCTGATTTTTAAACTAAAGCTAAAGGTTCCCTTGCTCGAAAGCCAGTTGAGTCCGACTCTAGGGTTGCGGTGCTCATCTCCGTTTCAAAGCCAAAGAGCCAGTGCTGTCTGAAGACATTTCCGTGGTCATGTGGCCGGCATGACTAAACACCAAGGCGCACGGAATGCTGTTACGTTCCCACCGAAGTGGTACCTATTTATCTACTTGCAATTTAAACTCAGGAGCCACTTAAAATGGTCTGCTATGCAACACAGGAGATGGCTGTCTAAGAAATGCAAACGTAGGGAACCCATAGGCCCATGAAGCTAGTTACTGTGCCGTTCTTGGGATCCCAGGGCCCGGTGCCTGCTTAAAAGGCTTGTATGTTTTTTGTTTAGTTTTGTTTGGGTCAGCCTGCCTTTGTTTTGTGCTGTGATCTATGGTGTTTTGAAATAGATGTGTGTGTTTTTAAAAAAAACAAAGAAGTACATCCATCCTACTATTAGCTATCAGTTCGTTGCGTCTCAAATGAGTCTCCATTTTCTTTTTTTCCAGTTCCTCTCTGGTGTAGATGCCTGGTGCAAAATGTGCAGTGAAGGAGGCCTCCCATCAGAAATGCAAGGCCTGGAACTGGCCATCCATCATCATCAGTCCCTATATGAGCAGGTCACCCAGGCCTACACGGAGGTGAGCATTTCCAGAAGAGACTTTAATAACCACTAGCAAGATTATACAGTAACAATTAGTAGAGATGGTTGAGTATACGTTTGGGATATATATTGGTGCTGGGGGGGGGGCAACAGTGGGAGAGCCAGTTTGGTGTAGTGGTTAAGTGCGCGGACTCTAATCTGGGAGAACAGGGTTTGATTCCCCACTCCTCAACTTGCACCTGTTGATGTGACCTTGGGTCAGTCACAAGCTCTGGCACAGCTGTCCTTGAAAAAGAGCAGTTTGTGTCAGAGTTCTCTCAGCCCCACCCACCTCACAGGGTGTCTGTTGTGGGGAGGGGAAGGGAAAGGAGTTTGTAAGCCGCTCTGAGACTCGAAGTGAAGGGCAGGGTATAAAAGCTTGGGGGGGTCAACAGTGGGAGGGCTTCCAATGTCCTGGCCCCACTGGTGGACCTCCTGATGGCACCTGGTATTTTTCTGTGTGACAGAGTGTTGGACTAGATGGACCTTTGGCCTGATCCCGTCTTGGAGTCTCTTATGTTCTTATATAAAAGAGTTATTAGTTGAATAAATTGTGGAAAACATGTATCTATCTGTCTTTTCATTACTCTGCTGACATGACTGCTTAAGCAGTTTCATTACTGAGTTGTCTGAAATTGTTCTCTAATCAAGGGTAGGCAAACATAGAAGCCCTGGATATGGTTGGAATATGAGTTTATCTGGGTTACAGCCCAAATAGCCTGAAAGCAAAGTCAACAGAAAATGCTGTCAGTTCCAGATTACAGTACAAAAACACAAGAAGAGGCCAAGCAGAGAACTGCACATTACATTTCCCCCGGGTTAGGTCAAGTGATGTGTTCTGGAGTATTGTGCTTCCAAGGTGCCCAAAGACATGATTCAGATTTGGGCCAAGAGACATGTGGTGATTGGGGCTTGGACCTTCCCCTCCAAAACATTCTTTTCCTGACATGAAATGCATATCAAAATATCTTGTCACAGTCATATGTAACACTTATGTGTTTCCATAAATATGTCTGCAATCTGTGGATGTTACAAAACAACCCTGGACACACACGACCCAATCAGTTAAACCAAGTATAAAGCCACAATCAAACAGTCATAAGACTTATAAAGAATGCTGTTTATGTATTGCAATCTAAAGCACTACAACATGATACACAAATCAATAGAAAATCCTTGAACCAAATGTCATCTCCGGATTACATAAGTAACGTTTCAAAAATGGATCTTCTTCCGGAGATAATATAGTGGTGCCCAAGCTCTCAGTTTCATAAATGTTAGACAACAAGTCTTAAGAATATTAAATTCAGATAGGACGCTGATCTCAATTAACATTCAGGCTCAAAATGTGCTGCTATGTTTCTACTGGATCTGGGGCGTCTCTGTGGATGCCTCCTATTTAAGTGTTCTGATCAGAATAGGGCAGCATGCTTGTTTCATGCTCCAAATCTGAATAACCAAAATCCCTTCATTGTTTTCTAAAATAAATTCTACACAAAGAAAATGGTAAATAGTGGTAATTTTATGACTGGTGTCAATGGTACTGTCTCCCAGTTACCATTCCATCCAGTTGAAACCAGTTTGGGCTGGATGCAGACAGACCTATCTCCATTCTCACAGGGTCAGAGGCACGGTTAGGTAGTCTGGTCAGAGATTGTCTCATTCATTTGGCTATAAGTAATTGCTGAGGGCCCTGATTGGTGCAAGGGCCTAGCAACACTTGGGACCAGCGTTCCCTCTAAGCTGTGGAGTCTTGTGAGCAAAAATTCTACTTTGTGAGCTACCGGCATTAAAGCTGTGAGCGAGCGATTTGGCTGCTGCATAAATCAGTTGGCTCTGGAGCCATCCTTCCTGAGCTGAGACAAAAAAGTGTGAGCCGGAGGCTAAAAAACTGTGAGCTGGCTCACACTAACTGAGCTTAGAGGGAACACTGCCTGGGACCCTTAGTAATAAAGGAATGATCTTCAAAGGTCCCTGCCACACGGCAGGAAAAACGACGGCCAGAGGGCGGCTAATCTGAGCCGCACCAAACTAGAGACGGGATCACCTGAGCCGCTGCGCCGTTGCTCCCCGGCACGATCAGATGCCGGGGAGAAAGCGACGGTGGGAGGGGGGCTGGTGAACGGTGCATGCTCACACATGCGCAGTTCGGCCAGGAGCTGGGGATGCGCCAGCGGAAGGACGCACCGGCGATCCCACGGCCGCACTTGCCGTGGCCTTTCCGGATGAACCACCCAGGAAGGTGGTTCTTTTTTGGTGCGGGGTTTTGGGCGGGAGGGACGGATCGGTGACGGGCGCGCAACGCTTCCCAGATGTTGCCGTGGGATCGCGCCCATTTGCCACGCATCCGATCCGTCCCTCTCCCGGCCCAAATCCTCGCGTGTGACCGGGGCCATAGCTATTCTTTAGCTTGAAGTGTGCCTACTTGCTACCAAGACATGTTGGTATACTCTGACTTACTCTTGGCCATCTTGGATTTATACTCACTGAAGCCAAACAACACTGGCATTGCCGACTCCGGAGAGAGTTGCTCTGTAACCCGCAACTATGAATGGGTAGCACCTTGTCACTTGTGAACCAATGTCTTATAGCGTTTAGTTAGCCTTTGAATTCCTTGTTTTATTATTTTCTCCTCACAGTAACTGTTTTTCTTTAAGGTATCACTTGCACCTTAGTAAAAATGTATTTTAAATATTAATTCTGGTGATTTTGTTTGTTTATTTTCTGATTTATACCCTGCCCTACCCCGCCAAGGCAGGCTCAGGGTGGCTTACACAAGAGAAAATACATATTAACAATCAAATTGCCATAAAACATTTAAACAATTCTTTTAAAACAATACAATATCAAAGTGCTAGCTATGTTATTTTGATGTCGTAACAGTGTCGTAATGATGTTGTAACAGCCAGCAATAGAATCTAGTGCCTAACCTGTCAGACTACCTACCACTTTATTTTGGATAACAATCAAATTGCCATAAAACATTTAAACAATTCTTTTAAAACAATACAATATCAAAGTGCTAGCTATGTTATTTTGATGTCGTAACAGTGTCGTAATGATGTTGTAACAGCCAGCAATAGAATCTAGTGCCTAACCTGTCAGACTACCTACCACTTTACCTGCTGTGAGTCTACCTTGCAGGGAGGACTTCCTAGTTAATCCCAGGAAAGTTAGGATGTTTATCCTTTGAAATGCTCTAGTCCAGCACTCTTTCGAAGATAACGTTGACAACATCCCATCACTGGTGGTGAACTAGGCTCTTTTTAAAAACTTGATGTGGTTTGGTTGCTGTATCACCGCTGTATTGCTTGTTGGGAATGAAGTATATAGAGGATAAAGTTACCAGAATTTTACCCAGATAATTTTCTGTTTGGTGTAGTGGTTAAGTGTGCGGACTCTAATCTGGGAAAACCGGGTTTGATTCCCCACTTGCACTTGGCTGGGTGGCCTTGGGCAAGCCGTAGTTCTGATAAGAGCTGTCCTTGAAAAAGAGCAGTTTCTGTCAAGAGCTCTCTCAGCCCCACCTAC